GGGGAGTTTGAACTGCACACCCTAGGGGTGAGGCTTACAGCAGAGTGGTGGGCGTTTGGGCACTTAGGAGGGGCGAGTCCTGCTTAAGGACTCAGTCCTGAGCGATTCTCACAGGCCTGACAACCTGTTCGCTTCCTTCACGAACCCTTCACCATGGATCTTGTCTGTGGGTGCTGGGCTCCCCCGGAGTTCACCTGGAGAACATTAAGACAACACTGCAGTTCAAGCTGCCCTGAGGGGACTGGAGAGAAACGTGCCTCTAGGAACTGAGGAAACATCGATTGACATGTTTTGACAAATCGACAAAGCACTGGAAGCAATAACTCATCCATGACAAGAGACTTGGGAGACGGCTACTTGCCATCTGAATGGAAGAGATCCCTATTTGTGCCCGTTCTACAGAAGAGTAACCCATAGAATGCAGAAATTACTGCACAGTATCATTAATATCATTTGTAAGTAAACATTTGTTTAAGATAACTCAGAAAAACAGTTGGAGCAGTATATCAACAGATAGCACCCCGAAATTCAAGCCAGATTCAGAGGTGGACGTGGAACAAGGCATATAATTGCTGAAGTCAGCTGGATTTGTTTCCAAGCAGAGAATACCAGAAGGATGTTTACTTGTGTTTCATTGATGCAGCAGCGGCCTCAGCGGTGTGGGTCAGAACACGCTCTGCATAACACTGGGACGAGCGGAGCAAGCAGAACACTTGGTTGTGCTCAGTGCAGCCTGCCCCTACACGAAGAGGCAGTCACTCGAGCAGGGCAAGGGAATGCTGCCTGGTTTAAAATCAGGACAAGAGTGTTGTATCGGGTTGTGTCCTTTCACCGTAGCTTATCCAGTCTGTGTCCTGCGTGGTTGGTAAGAGAAACTAGCCCGTGTGAAGAGGAACGTGGCATCAGAATGGGGAACGATCATGAACACCCTGTGATACGCAGATGACAAAACTGCTTACTGAAAGCAAGGAGGCCTTGAGGCCCGGCTGGTGATCACAGATTTCAGCCTTTAGTATGGATCACAGCACAATGTAACGAAAACTAAAATTCTTACAACTGGACCAATAGCTAACATGTAGGGTAAGTAGAGAGAGATGGAGGCTGTCAGGGATTACACGTCATTGGGATCCACAATCAGTGCTCATGGAAACAGTAACCAGGTGTCTAACAGTGTAATGCATTGGGCAGCTCTGCACAAGACCTCTTTACGGTGTAAAAGAGCACGCTGAGGGCTGCTGTGATTTGACCTTCAAGCACATTATGTGCTTGTGGAAGCTGGGCAGTAAGTATGAGCGACGCTTTTGAATGCTGATGTTGGTGAAGAATATTGCAAGTACAGTGAGCTACCAGAGAGAGAGGAATCTGTCTTTGAAACAGTTCTGCTATGATGTCACTTAGAAGTGAGGATGACAGGACTTCATGTCACATACTTTGGTTGTTTTATCAGGAAAGATTACACAAGACAAACAAAACAAACCCACTGCCATTGCATCTGTTCAGATTCAGTGACCTTGTCGGATGGTAGAGCTGCACCTTTGAGTTTTCAAGTTGATAACTCTTTACCCGACAGCAGTCTCATCTTTCTCCCATGAAGCGGCTGGTGAGTTCGAACGGATGATCCTGCAGCAGGCAACCCAAGATTAGTCCATGGAGAGGGCCATCATGCTTCGTAGAGGGTCAGCAAAAATGAGGAAGGCCATCAAGGAGATGGAGCGACACAGTGGCTGACACGTCAACACTGTGAGGCCGACGCAGGACGAGGCAGTGTCTCATTCTGCTGTGCGCACGGTCGCTGAGTTGGCGCCGACTGAAGAGCACCTGACAGCAACAACAGGGAGCCAAGTTACCGGGGAAAGCAAAAACCCGAACTCTGCCGTGCAGTCGGTTCTGACGCGCAGTGGCTCCATGGGGCAGAGTAGGACTGCCCGCGTGGGTTTCCGAGACTGTGAAATCGGAGCTCTGGTGGCACAGTCGTTACCCATTGGGCTGCAAACCACAAGGTCTGCAGTTTGAAACCACTAGCAGCTCCGAGAGAGAAAGGTGAGACTTACTACTCCTATAAAGAGTTCGTCTTGGAAACCCGTAGGGGCATTTCTATCCGGTCACTGTGAGACAGCTTTGACTCCATGCCACTCAGCGAGTGAGTGAGTGGAATCTTTATGGAAGTAGATTTTAAGGCTTCTCTAAACCCCATGGAAGAACCTCTGTAAGACGGGCGTGAACTGGCAGCAAAGCAGGGTCATCCTGCGTGGGACTGCAGAGCGGAGCACAGGCAGGAGTCGTCCAGGATGTAGACTGTCTGGTGGGGCATCGGCGACCTTTGTCTGAGAGGGCAAGCTCAGGCCTGGAGTCAGCTGAAACAGCCGGATGCCTGACAGTTGTACTGATGGTCCAAGTTAATATGTCAGAAAGAATGAGCGTCCAGCATAAACAGAGGAAACAGGAAATGAGAATTTTGTCTTAAAGGTGATACACTAGCTCTGACACCTTCACTACAAAAAAGTTGAGTAGGTCACACAGTATTTCCCCACTGACATACGCATTTCTGCACAGTCCAGCGGAACAGGGAAATTTATTAATGTCTCATTTTCCACCCACATTTCCCAGAGGTTATACTTCATTCTTATCCTAACAGATAGGTGGAAAGCAGATAAAGCGAAGGAGCATGATTTTTATGGGGGGGGTGGGGGGGGGATCTATACTTTATGAGCAGTAATTTGGTTGGTTTGAGGGTTCTTATGGACAGGATAACTAAAATACTACCATTTGATGTTGATTTTGCCTATAAAAGATAGCCTTTGTCCAGGTTGTTAAACTAAGTTATTAACATCTCTCCAAGTATTGATTAGCTTATTTTTCATTAGATAGCCCAGTTATCTTGGCAAATATGTAAAATAGACTTAAAGACTATAAATTCTTGGAAATAATATATTAGAAAATGAGTTACATGTGGTACGATGAGTTATATTATTCAAAAGTTTTTAAAGTAGTTTTCCTACCTTTAATCAACCTCATTATGAGGTGGTGACTCTTACTACTTCTCAATTACTGCATTTTGCTTTCTTTTAGGGGCCACATTATCTTAGTTCCAGAGTTTACCCTTCCTTTGGAGTACTACCTAATTCCCTTCCTGATCATAGTGGGCATCTGTCTCATCTTGATAGTCATCTTCATGGTAAGTAAGTGACCTGTGCGTATTTTTAATGCATTATAAGTAGACAGAAAACCATGGCGAGATCTCATAAAATACGGTGCTTAAAACAAAACAAAAAAACATGGTGCTGATTGAAAGAAATTCCTCTCCAAAAAGTATATATTGCATAAGTCCATTTATATGAAGTTGTAGAAAAGCCATGTCTGACCTGAGTGGGGAGAAAATGCGAAGAGTGCTGTCTCTGGGCCGTGGGGGTAAGGAAGGGCTCCCTAGGAAAGGAATGAGGGAGCTTTCGGGGATGAGAAGACTGTTCTGTATCTAGATGAAAGTTTGGATTGCAAACTCTGTTTTTCTCTGAACTCAACAGATTGTCTACTTAAATTCTGTGTATTTCATTATGTGTAGGTTTTACAAAAGAGAAAAAAATATAAATAAATACCACACTCGAATTAGTGATATTCATGCTAAAGTATTTTGGGGGGAAGGATACAAATGTCTACACTGTACTTTGAAATACAATGTTTTTTAAAAGTTATTTATGGGTAGAAAGTAAGATGAAAGTTGGCTTATCTAATATTTAACTTAAGGAGCCCTGGTAGTGCAGTGTGAGAGGCTGTGGCAGTTTGACCCCCAGGAACCCGACGGGGAAAACAGGCGCTCTGCCCCTGTAGATGTGCCGGTTCCACCGTGGACACCCGTGGGGCAGCTCTGCTCGTCCCTGCAGTGTCCCTCAGAGCCACAACCAACTCCCCCTCGGGCTGCTTTTCTGACCATTTCATTAGACACCCTGCAGACGCCATGCAATGCAACCGCAAGCAGTGTCTGCGCAGCAGCGCTTTGTGGAGTGTGCTTTGTTTGGACCTTGTGTGGAGGTGCTCCTGAGGCCCTCTGCGTATAATGACTTATGCGCATAATCATCTGGGCAGCCAGGTGGGTTCTACTTCTTATAAATTACATTCCTAAGAAATTGTCTGTCTTGTCTGTTTTCAAATTGGTCGAACTGCACCTTCAGCAGCTGGAAACCCATGCTCCGTGGGAGGAAAGGAAGCTTCCTCCTCCGTGAAGAGTTACCGCCTCAGACAGCGGGCAGCTCTGCCCTGTCCCCTAGACTCGCTGTGAGTCGGCATGGGCTCGAGGGCAGCGATCTGGTCTCCATGTGCGATAGATGCTCTCTCCTTGCCCTTGCTTGTTCAGCCTTGCCAGTTCAATCTTTCTGAGAAGTAGTCTGTGGAGTCGCCTTTTCCTTTCGTTGAAGAAGGGTTCATCCTGTGCCTACAGTGAGTGCTAGGATCGTGGGACTCGCCCACGGACAGGGTGCGTAGACATCTTGAAGCCAAGTAGTTTCAATCCAGGGGGACTTCAGTTCTTTCTTTATCTTAATATGTTGCTTTGATTTCTGCTTTTGCTATTCTTTTAAAAAATTTACTTAAAAAATATATTGCTTTACTTCTTCTAGCTTGTTGAACTGTATGTTTATTAAATCTTTTCCAGAATATGAGCGTCGGTTATAATTTTCTCTCTAGAGTCATTTTGGCTGCATGCCACAACTGTTGACGCATGATACTTTTACTCTCATTGGGTTTTTTATTTTGTAATATAGAATGCTTCCTTACCATACTTAATGTTTCCATTCATGTGAAAGGGGAACTGGGCATAATCCCTGGCCTTTGTCTTAGAGGAAATGAAATGACTTGTTGGAGGGATCCCTGTGGTTAGGGCTCTACTTTGCCTCCATCTGCCCACTCACATCTTTTTCTCAAGCATCTAGAATCCAAGAGACAAGTAGATTAGAAGGCCCCTTCAGAAATTGAAACAGCAATTATGGTTTCTTCTGGGGTTTATAAATTAAGCAAATTTTTTTAAATTTCCAAAAACATAGTTTCTTTCAGTATTTTTTCCCCCTACTAATTTCTTAACGCAATTACATTTGTTGTAGAGCATGCGCATGGAGTCTGCTTGTGGTAAAAACTACCACGGCTTATAGCGCGATGGGCAGGCTGGGTGGCACCCAGCAACCCTGCAGTTCCCAAGTGCCCCCGTTTGTTGGGGCTGAGGAGAGAGATTGAGAGCCAAAGTGTGCTTGGTACTATCGAACAAGGGATTGTTAGGAGATTGGTAAGAACCCCCCAATAAAATGATTAATTTAAAAAACTCCAACTTATTAGCAGAATTCGGATTGGCTGACATGAGAAATACACCTACAGTAACTTTTCAGCCTTCAATCCGTGCATGCAATTGTAAAGTCTCTATTTTACCTCCTTTTGTAGGGCCAAGTTTTCATAACCCAATGTGAATTTTGCACTTACTAAAAAAATCAAACCAAACCCACTGTGTTGGATGCATTCATTCTGTCTCATGGCGACCCCACAAGACAGAGTGGAACTGCTGTGCTCTAGGGGGGCTTTCGGAGGCTGCACGTCTTTTTTTAAAAATCATTTTATTGGGGGCTCGTACAACTCATCACCATCCATCCATCCATCCATCCATCGTGTCAAGCACATTTGTACACTATCATTCTCAATACAGTTTCTTTCTACTTGAGCCCTAGGTATTGGCTCCTCATTTTTCCCTCCCTCCCTCCCTCATGAGCCCTTGACCATTTATCATCATTTCCGTGTCTGACACTGTCCTGTCCGGCGTCTCCAGGCCGTCTCATCTCTCTCTGGGGGGGGCTGGTCACTGCAGACTGCCCACATTGTAGCTGCAGCCCAGCCCTCACCTCCGGCCTCCCTAGGTTCCTTTTCATACTCAGCACTGTGTGGATTCCACCACACCATCCCCGTCGGACAGTCGCACTGCCCCCGGGGTTTCTGGGACGTCAGCGCACCCCGTAGCCCAGGTCACCACGGGCTCCTGAGACAATTCCAAGTGCTCAATGCCCCCTGCGTCTGTGTGAGTCTGCAGCGCACATTTTGCATCTAATTTGAGCTAAGCATTGCTGAGCGTATGAAGGTTTTACTCCAGCCAGTAATTCTCTCATTTTCTCAGTGATTTCCTTTTTTATCATTAATCAGGTATTAATTGATTTTTTCACTCAAATTATATTTTGTTTGATGCACCCACTTTTCTTTGTGTTATATTTTCAGGGTGTAGCTTTCTATCACTGTATTTTTTTGTCTTTGTCTTAATATGTCATTAAGGTTTAATCTTGTGTCTTACAAATAGCTTATTATTATTATTTTTAATCCAATATGATTGGTTAGTGTTGTTAGTACCATGAAGTGAATTCCAACTGGGTGATGACTCCATGTCCCTTTAGGCAACATTCAACCACATACACGTACGTCCATTGTCTCAAGTGGGAAACCAGTTTTCTTTTAAGTTATTTTCTCCTACCGGTTTGGACTCTGGGCCATCGCAGGGGTACAAGAACTGCAGGAGAGGGCATGGCTCTGTGCCTGGGGCCTTGGGCATTGCCCAGTGGCAGGCAGGTGAGAGGCAGGGCCAGCCCCTGCTGCTCAGGTGGGAGGACAGGCCGAGCTTGGAGGGCTGGGATGCTTGCTAGGTAGAGCTTGCACCCTCCTTGCCTGCTCCCGCTGACTGTGCCCTAGCTGCTGCCCTGCGGTGGCCACAGCGGCCACTGTGGCCCACTCTGGCTGCAGGGGCAGTTTCTGCGCAGCAGTGAGGAACCAGCCCCGTATGGTGGTCAATAGGTGTTTGTACAGGATTCACATCGCATGCCATTCCCGTCTGCACAGTGTAGTGGGTGTACAAGTGACACATGGTTCACTCGTGTTCCTGTCTGCTTTGTGCTTTTCCCCGACGCTTAGGATGGTAACTCAACTTTTCTCTTTCTCCCTGCGCTTCCTCCGCCCTCTCGCCCTGCTTCCTCCCTCCTCCCTCGTTCTCTCTCCTCCCTCTTTGTTCGCCACCCTGTTATTTCGCTGTTCACTTAGTGTTATCGTTCAGCTTCTCACAAAGTGTTTTTATTCAGTTGAATTATAATAAACGTATGTGCATTTACATTTGTCACACAAGCAAACTCAGCGGTTCTCTGAGGAAGGAATGCAGAAAGCGTTTCCCTGGAGTAGACAGCTGGAACCGCTGCGTATGGGGAAGGTGCAGTATGCTCTAGGGAGCTGGCGCCGAGCACAGTTTAAATACAGAAATATTGGGACTAACGAGTGCTTTTCTGATCAGTTTTTGCTTACAGAGCGTTGCTCATCAGTCACAAGCTCCCAGGAGGTTCAGGTGATAGACACTACATATTTTCAAAGAACTTGTTTTCTCAGTCTCCGGACATACTGGACTCAGCTTGGGTGAGCACTTTCAAGATTAGTTTTGCAGGACCTACTGTAAGGATTCTAAGAACACGGTTTGCAAAGGAAAAGGTCAGGCAGTGGGTTTAATGGAACAGATCCCCTGCGATCATAACCTGACCCTTACTCTGATTTTCCAAGCACCATTAAAAGTTTTTGTTCGAAAGTCTAGCTTAAGGATAAGAAACTGAAATAAGGCGGAAGAAAAAAAGGGGTCCAGTCTGGACCCAAGTCAGCCAGTTTCGTTATGCCAAATGGTTCAAGTGTGATGATTGCTCAATTTAGTAAATTTTGATGTATGAGGGATGTTCTAAAAGGTCATGGAAAATGTACATTCTGGAAAAACAACAACTATTCATGAATTTCTTTTCTTTTTTTGGACCAAGCTAAACTCACTACAGCTGTGGCAATTATGTAATCATTTGTCAATTTGAGAGGATTGAGAGTGAAGGGGTAGAGTTTAACCTGTCAGTCAGGTGATAGCCAGTGAGGTCTCTGTGTGGACATGGCCTTCTCCTGAGGATTCTGGGAACTCTGGTATCCCCCTCCCCTCGCTCTCCTCTCTCCACACTCCCTGTGCAACATGTCTGTGGAGAAGTCACAAGAAGCTACCCTGATGCAGCCAGAACCTCGGAGCTGAAGGAACCAGCACTGAGATGCCTCTACCGCCACTGGATCCACAAGACTTCCCACCCACTGGCCTGCGATCATCCTGCATTCAGCGTCATTGCATGTGTTTCCTGAGTCTGAAAAGGACTTTAT